GCTTAGCTCAACTAGTACACAAAAGGGGATCACATTATTGTATAGACTCTGACTATGAGCATAATTTTGGATTGGTGCCACCGCAATGGTGTTAGTTAATTAAAATACACTGAATGGTGGGCTGTGGGTGCATGGTTTTGCTGATTGCACCCATGGCAATTAAGGACCGGTTCACGGGAAACCCTGGGAGACTTACCGTGCTTACCACAAGTAGGAGTGGGTAATTGCTTGATCTGAAGTATAGCTCGACCCTTTCCTAGGCACCGGTGGCGAGGGTGGGCGTGATGGAGTTGGGTCAGCCGGGGTGTCCGGTTGTCCAGCTGCCGGATTCACCGCGGCGCAAGAGGGGACCGCCCACTGCCTTTTGAGGGGTGGGGGTGAAACCTTAGCGTGGTGTGGATGGTTAGGGGACGGTTATGTGGAGGGTCTTGTCACGATTTCCCCCTTTGCAGTATCATGGTGATACTTCGGGGCATGGCGACATGTGTGGAATCGTGTCTTGTGGGTACAGTTGTACACCTCTGGCCAGAGTAAAACTATTCGAATAGCCGTGCCTGCGGTTATGGGCGATCAACCAGATTCACCGTGATTAGTCTCACCCCTAGTTTAGTTCAATGAACTGGTGTAGTTCAGGTGGTTGGTTGGGCCTGTTGCAACGTGGTGTAGCGTTGGACAGTGATTGGTTAATATTGATTAGGTACTACAACTGTTTTACTGCTTTCAACTACTGCTTTGAAATGCCTGCTTTATGCAAAAGAACGTTTAGCCTCCTTTGGTTATATCCTGCATCATACCTCCTCTTCTAGTATGACTTGCTGAGTACAGAGTCTTGCTCTCTTTTCCCCCACACCAGAGTTGAAGTTCTTCTTAGTTGGAGCCGTCTCAGAGAGGTTGGTTTCGTCGCTGCCGTCAAGGATAGCCTGTGGAGTGGAGTCGCCCCGCTGCTGAAGTCAAGTTTCCAAGTCTAGCTCGTTTTATCTTTTCCGCTGCATTTGTAATCTTTTATATTTTTGTAAGACGTGGATCTGTATGTCAACAATTGTCGTTTGTGTACCCTGGCTGGTCCTGGACAGGGATTTAATGCACATTCAACTTAGAAATTCTGGTTCGTTAATTTCTGGGCGTGACAGTGCCGAGTCGAAAACCCTGGAGTTTTGCTCCTTCCACAACTGCCAAGAGACTAGAAGAACCAGATAGTCGAAGCTGGCGCGAAGATGCTCAGGTAAGCAGGCCCTAGATGATGGCCACCAGATTTGCAGCGAGTGCCAGATCTGCCGAGCGAACACATAGTTGAGAAGGATGTGGTTCGACGTCTCAAGATCCTAAGCGCAAAAGGGACATACGGAGTGGCTATCGATACGACGCTTCTGAAGAAGACAGAGTGGCAAATCAAAGGAAGAATTTGCATTTAGCAGGGCCCTTCGCGTGCCATATGTTTAGTGATGCTCTTAAAGTTTTCATCCATCAGAAATTGCGGTAAAAAAAAGCTACTGGGTTTGTTGAATGGAGGATCTAAGATGATGGTTGGATCCGCAAAAGTACTCTAGATATTTCAGGAGTAATTTTTAAGCAGAATTATTTCGGGGCTGTTCAGATTGTAGCCAAAATAAATTGCCAAAATTTTGGCAAGTTGGCAATATTACCAAAAATTTGGCAAGATTTCTTATGCATTGTCCAAAGTTTAACAACAAACTAAATGCATGCACTTTTGGCAACTTAGCCGAAAAAATGGCATCAATCTGAATAGCCTCTTCAACTCTCGATCTCTCTAGACACTGTAGACTGCAGAAGTGAATCGAAAAAAAATATAGAAAATAGAGGATTAGAAAATTCTAGCAAAAATATGTGATTGATAATAAATAAAGCCCGAATGCATTGAAAAAAAAAATCAAACACAAGCAAACTAAACAAAAGCGAAGACAGTAAAATGCTTGCTTATGATAGTAGTTTTTGTTGAGTCACCATGAAATACACATGAGGAATCAATCCATTAATCCAAAGCTGACCAAGTGACCTTCACCGAGATTGAGGCGAACCCGATCTTTATTTCTTCACTAGCACATCCATGATTGGTCGCTTTGAAAGATAGACAATGTTCAGCGAAATAGACAGAACCTACCTTAAACTTCAAATCCATACACTTATTCTTCATGACAGCAACCACATGCGGACATGCCTCCTCAAGCCACGCGACTCACCAATCACACCATCAAAGAGCTGGATTTCCTCATGTAACCCACTGGTAAAACAGCCGACACACAAATTGAAACCGGTTTGCACTTCTGATATGACAACATCTACTGTCGCTTCAAATGCGTAGTCAAGACACGCTCGAGTTATGTCTACCGCGCCGTAATCTCCATGAATGCGATTTATCACTGGATTGCTTGATGTCAGTATTTCGTTAACACATGATACACCATCAATCAGCTGTAGATCATTCTCATCTCGTTCTCCTGTCTTGATCCTCATGTCATATTCAACTAGAACAGCACGAGACAAATCGATCCCTCTCTTAGGGCCAATTTCGATGATGGAACCCTACAAAATAATTATTTAGTACCTCTTCGTAGCAGAGTAAGAAGTACCTAACGGCCCTATCGTTTCGCTGAATGGGGGAATAAGCCAAACAACATATTTGCAAACGAAAAATAATTTGTAAAGAAAACTTTTTTATATGTATTCTTAACTATCTAAAAGCAAAGGCTGGAAAATAAACTTCGATGGAAAAAAAAACCCAAAATCAACTCCAAATTTAAGGTTGAAAATTCAAATTTTGGCTGATAAGCATAAGTATAAGTGAAAAGATGAGGTTGTAAAGCTAAATACTTACTTTGTGGCATTTCAGTCACAACAATACCTAGCTCAAGGGATTATTTTACAGTTGATGCCCAAGATGCTTGTCACGTATCAAACATAATGGTTATGAAGGGTCAAGAGTGTAAGAGTGCCAAAGAAGAAATGTTTGTCCAGCGTTACTTATTTGAGTTATTTTTGAATTCCAAAATATTAATCATATAGGCTTGTGTGAAATGTAAACAGAAAAGGACTTTGTTGTGATGGGGTCATTCATATGTCTATAGACAATTAAAAAAAACAATTTTGCACGGTTCTAAGCAGAAACCAAAGGGTTCAAAACTATTCTATTTGATTTTGTTTGGAACACGTAACACTCACTTGCACTTAGTTTCATAAATAATTCAGGTCTGTTCATAATCATCATTTCACAATATAGTACTTCATATAGGGCTATCATTCCATAATATTGTTTTGCTACTTTTGCATATATTATAACATTAATAGCATGGAAGCATATTTTTTTGGAGCTATAGCACCAAAATATTGCTAGAGTATTTCAGCTGCCATTTTGGGCAAGAATGTTATTTAAAACAGAAATTTGCCTTTTTTACAATAAAAATGACAGTAGTGGCCTGTCTGTTTTGATTCAGAAAAGAAAACAGTCACATAAGGAATATATATGGCACAACCACCATAGACTAACCCTATTTCAAATGATTAAAGAAAAGATTGCAAACTGAGCCTACACTATCAATTAAGAGCGCAGTTAATACAACATTTCCACCCTATCCTAAATTCAGTAATGTAAAAGAGGCTGGAAGATACCAACAAAAGCTCTAATCACATTTGTTCCGTGCATGTTATAAGTTTGGCCTTATACTGTGAAACAGATAAAATAATTTGAAGTAATTGTATAAACATACGGGAATGTACCTGCTCCACAATTATGGGATTATCTCTGCCAATATTGACAATATAATTAAGTAATGGGTCCCGAAGATCCCGTGCCGCAATGTATCCATACAACTCCATTGAGCCATCAACCCCAAAAACTTTAGCCAACTTTATTGAGAAAATTTGCAACATGGAATGTTGAGTATGCCTCGTGCAAGTTCCATCACTCAGGCTGCAATCTTTGTTGGAATTTGATAACATCATTGCCTCCAATCGAGCTACAACAAAGATTACATACCAAATTGCAACAGCTTAACAGTAGATAAAATACCTGCTTGGTTATAATAAAAGTAAAGGTAGAAAGTCCATTCTAAATTCCTAATCGCTCAAGTTTTTCAGTTGTTTGGATAATTCCTGTCTGAATTTATTCCCGCACCCCTACCCCACCTAATTACTGAAAGCAGAACACTTTATGTAAACTTCTAGTAACACATCTCAGATAGACAGGAGAAAAGAAAAAAAGGAGAGAAAAAAAAGAAAAGGAAATCAGGTCCCAAATCGAGGGAAACAAACCGGTTGAGAGGGCTCTACTCTGTTGGTCCACAATTGTCCCCCTCAAGCATGCGCTCCACAACTTCATTCGACTGGGGCCATGGTAGAATGTTGCCTCTATTCAGTGGTGCCACTGAGGGGATATCATTAGTAAGATCGTGCCCGACATGGGAATGATCACCTGGGAGGTGGATGATGGTATCCTAATGCAAGCTGGGAACTGGATTGTGGCCACAGATGAACAAACAAGGCAAGGGAGTGGAGTAGAAGAAAACAGGGGGCAAAGAATTCCATGTCTTGACTAGTTCAACAATTGCAAATAAGGGTGAAATTTGCGATGTGGATGAGTGGATCCCATAGACCGTATTAGATACTTTCCAATGGAAATTCCCATATTAGGGCACTTTGTAGTGGTAGATAAAAAAAATCTTCTGATATTTAGATCTGTGGCTTGATACAAATACCGTCTATTATGCCAACCTTTCCTAACTTAAATGGGTGATATATTTCTATTTATAACATAATATCCTAATGTACTATAGACTCCAGACTCATCTAATAGAAAGAATTTATCCTCTTATTTGTTGTTCAAGAAGTGTAGTCAGATGGCTGGCCTCAGCGGCCATAGGACTGGCTAGCGTCCTAGGATTGCATAAGTGGCAGCGCAACACTAACCTTATATTGACACTAGAGCTTGAGAACTCTCCTAAGAACAAAACAGATAACAATGGGAAAATATGTATCAAACACTTACTCTCATTACGGTCCGCGATACGATAGTCCCATTTCCACCCAGATCCAAAGGTGGTGTCGTATATATAACCATCACGGTGGCTGCTCCATTTAAATGTCGTTCAAGAGACAGGACCATAACAGCTGTAGTTATCTACGCGATCGTTGAACTCTTCATATTCATCATCATCATCATCATCATCATCATCATCATCGGCCTCGCTGGCACTTTGGTTCCTTGCATCTTCTTCACCATCTGTTAGCTCCTTAATTGCCCCCCTTGGATCTTGTTTGACACCTGGGACCTTCACGGTTGTCCTACAAAAAACTTCATCGCTATACTTGGCATTAACAATTTTGCGTCCATTCTCTTCAACATTGGCAGGACGGCCATCGCCATAATGAGCAATGAACTCAGTTGCAGCCCCATTCTCTTCATTGTCCATGCCTCGGGTGATGGGAAAGTGCTTGTCCATGGAATTTATAATACCGTTGGTTGTGTGGATAGGATCGTTGGGAGAAGGGGTGAGTTGGCGCTCGTCTGATTTACCCAATTGCTCACTTTTCACTGCATTGCCGCTGGCCATGTTCCGAGATCCACAGGGGAATCTATGAGCAAAGAGCATAAAAGGGTAAATTCTTTGCAAAGATCCGGTTCAAATGCCATCAGCAAGGATTGAAATCGTAATGTACTATCTATGTCTGAAATGGATTTTTCTTTGGCATTTTGTTCTCTGATTAGGGGTGACATGTGATTAAGTAAAATGAAAAATCCCTAATTGCCCTTAAAAAAAATCAGCATCATAAGAACAAATAATTCTAACAAAAAAATCCCTAAATTCGTCGAAATCCATGTAGAAAACATTAACAACAGATTAGAAGCGCAAACTTTAGCATCAGAACAAGGAACACACCGGGAAACATGACGGACAGGAGGGTTAAGCGCCGCCCTGCTGATCGAAGCGGCTCGTCGCGCAAGCGTCGGTAGCCACCCGCGAGGCGGACCGGAAGCCATGGAGGAGACTAGAGAGGAGAGATCGCGGAGATGCGGCGCCATCCGGGCGGTAGAAGCCGCGGCGTTGGGGGCGTCGGAAGAGGCGGATCAATCGAGCGCGATGGGGTTCGCGTGCGTGCTCACACAGAGAGGAGCGCGCGGCGGCGGTGAATCCGGTGATGGCTGCTGGTGGGTATAGTGTTGCGCGCAGCCGCGCACTGGTCCGGTTCGTGGCTTGCTAACCCTAAGTGAATTCAACAAGAGGGAGGCAGCCCAAACCCAAGCCCACTCTGCAATTCATGGTCTGTCTGCCTGTCTGGTTGTCACGCTCTACGGCGAGTCCAAGGACCAACAAACAAGTAGTGGTTGTTTGGATCTGAAAATAATAAAGCCTCTTAAAAGAAATAAAAGGAAAAAAAATAAAATGAGACATGATTTATTCAGTCGAACGAACTGGATGGAGATTGTATCATCAGGATTTTTATGTAATCTTCATTTCTAAGTCTCTACTTTCAAGCTTTTACAGGTAGGAAATTTCTTCAGCCATTTCTCAGGATCAACATGATTGGAGACAATACATGCAAGAGTTCCTACAGGAGAAAAAAAATGTTTTCCTTTCAAGATCACATGATTGGAGCGATACATAATGAGTTACACAGCAAGCATAACCGACCAAGTTCCCTAAATCTAATCAAACTTACAACAATTCTCACTCAGCGCGTGATTCTCAGGCAGCTTTCGTACAGCTTTACACAATAATACAACAGGATCAAGAAATGCCTACATCAAAAATTCCAAACTAGAATCAATACACTGCGCGCAAGGAGCAATGTTGCATTCTTTGGTAAAGATGTCAATGCTGACGAAAAAAAAAAGTCAGGCGTACTTAATGATTTACACCTTATTTCACCACTAGGAGCAAGGTTCCATTATGCTCTGTACACTAAAACCACCCAAAATCCAGCGTCCTCATGTTCATACTCACAATCTCTGAGATCAACAATTTTCCATGGAGGTAATGAAATAGCTGTGTAAATACAACGGTATTCTTGCATGCTCCAAAGAAAAAAAAAAGAAAAGAACAGGGAAGGTGAAGAAAATCAATCTAACTCTTCCCACCAAGACCCTCATAAAACAAGATGTATCCATGGTCCGTGTTGCCTGAGTATTCATGTGAAGAACCGAAGAATGTTTGCAGGGTCGACTCCTCAACCATCTCGACATTTTCATCATCGAAGAACAACCAGTGGTTGTGGCTTTTGACAAGGCTTACATAATGTCCATGGTTGGGGCCACTTCCAACATGGACAACGACAGCAAAGAGGGAGTACTCGGTATCTACATCATCAGATGTACTGAGCTTCAGCTCCATTGGGAATACAACCCGGTATGAAAGCTTCTTATACCGACCAAGCTGCTCTATGTACTTGAAGCGCTTTAGGTGGATAACTAATATGTGTGGAGCCTTCTTGATCTTCATTCTCTTCTGTGCTTCTTGCAAGCTGTAACAAGATCAAAATATTGGAGCTCAGCATAGTTAAGATTACAAGCCTTCCCATATGGTAGTTAAAGCACACAATTTTCATCTGTTTCACCCAAAGTCTACAGCATATAACAGGTTCTTCAAAGGAAAGGTGACCAGTCAGGGCTTTGCGCTGTTGTGCACATATACCAAACAAGTGCTCACCAAGCAAAGATGGAAATGGCACATTATGAAAACAAATCAATAGTTCAAAGAATTCTTGCTGCATTGTGAAGAAAAGAAAATGCAGTGTAAAATAAATATAATACATAGTTGTACCTGCAGCATTTGTCACAGAAGAATTTGTCCTCAGCATTTAAAGTCTCCGTGGAGCAGAAGTTTTTCAAGCAGCTTGTGATAGAACTATTCTGCTCAATATCAACACTCAGATCAAAAAATGTTTCATCCCTTGCTGTTACTGTCTCGCATCTTAAGCATCTGGTCTCATTGGTCAGTATGCCCTACACATGTTACGAGAAAAATAAGATGACAATGACCCGAGCTCTTTAAGGGTGGAAAGCTGCAAGGTATTTTCAGAGAGTTCAGTCACCTGAAAATTCTTATGCACCAAGGTAACCGGTGGTTCTTTTCTAACACCATTGGCTAAAGGTTGAACTGGCCCGTTTGGAACCTTTTCAGGAGATGATGATTGAGGGGAGTCCTTCGCAGCATTAGACTCCTTTTCCAGAATATCAACAAGCTCATTCAACAGAAAATTTAAGAACTCATGTGCATCCTACACAGTAATCATGGAAGGGTAAATTATTATTAGTGAATACAAACACAATTATCTTTTCTCCAACAAAATCAATTGTCAGCTTTAAATGCCAACTATACCAATAATGAAAATGACATCACTCAGACCAATTAATAAATGGAACATTTGAAAGTAAAAAACGATTATGGAGTTTGTATTAAATTGCATCAATTTGGTCAGCATGAAGCTTCAAATTATAGCAGATGAAAATGTGCTCTTATATTGTGTGAACGTGACAATGTCATCACAATGCTTCACAAATCAACAAATTGTACTACTATAATAATACATGCAAGGTACCTGGTGCATGTAGCTGCGAAATAGTTCATTCTGTTTCTTTACTCTTTGGACAAAGCGTTTTGGAGCAATAACGCCAGTCTTTTTCTTTGACTGGCTTACCTGCAATATATATTATGATCCATTAAGTTGCTGACAGAGACAATATCCTGACAGAAATTTCAGAGACCATACAAAACCGAGCAGTAAACATAATGCACACAGATCAATGAATTTGTGGGTACGACATCAAGCCAAATATCTTATTTGGTAATCAACTTGTGTGATGGATTTTAGAATATATGCTGATTGTAACAGCAGGTCAGTGTACATTACTCTAAGTAAGTTGATATAAGTCTTCCAATAAACAGTGCACTCTCTGAAGACTAGAAAAATCACCCCAAGAAAACCCAAACAAATAAATAGCACACAGACAACAAATATATCTGCATAGTGCTATCAAGTGGCTTCCAATAAACAGTGCACTCTCTGAAGACTAGAAAAATCACCTCAAGATACCCAAACAAGAAAATAGCACACAGACAACAAATATATCTCATATGGAGCTGCACAGTGCTATCAAGTGGCTTCCATCATAATTCTCTGATCAACACACGATGACGTAAAACCTTCAAACTCAGTGCAATAGAGATTTATTAACTGGCAACATACGAAACTTCACCCTGGCAGCGATTATATGATGACTTCAATGGATGAGGGTGCTAAACAAAAGCTGGCACCCTAATCAACACATGGAGCACACAAATAGCAGGAGGGGGATAATATGTGAGACGGCCAGCTACCTCACTACCTACGTAATCTCATGTCCTGATATTGCCAGGCTTCCACTCACACCAACACCAGGTAGCAGTCTTCACTACTTTCCTGACCTATGACCTATCCTTCTTTCCTCTGCCATACTGCTACCCCCTAATGCCTCCACAACTTCTTCCACGTCCACCAGGTTCTCCTCAGAGATTAAGCAGCAGCACAGAGAGAAACCACAGAAGCCAGATCAGAGATCCCTATCTCCTAGACCTCTGCTAGAACTGTTTATTTCTTTGTGATTATCTATCCTTTAAAGGGTCTTCTCACCTCAAATCAAGGACTCAGGGTGAATGGTCTGGGAATAATATTGAGTACTGATTGCTTTCAACTGACTTGACACCCTGTCATCGGCATGACAACACCACGACATCCACTACAACTAAAACATGCCATTACAGATAACCCCTTATTGCAGAAGCATAATCAATAGGACAATATAAGTTCTTAAATTGTCGTAACAAAAACATTTGTTCTTGAGAACTGTTAGAATGAAAATAAAAATACTTTGCATGCTTCTGTCTACTACAGTTACAGCATCGTGTCATCCTGAAGAGAGGGAACAGATATTTTAAAGGCTGCACAGCAGATACAAGTCACTTGATGCCACCCTGTAAGGCATTACTAAAACTTAAGGCCTTTACATAATATAGAATAGGACTTACCATATTCTGATATTCTTCTCCCAGGAATGAGCCTAAGACCCACCACTTTTTTCAGCATAAGCTCTTAATCTAGCTATTTGAAATTTGTAGTCTGCAAGGCCATAGCTTTTAATCCACAAGTATAAGGGTGGAGGGATAACACCAACCCACAAAAGCCAAAAGGGCTACTCAAATCTAGCATTTGGCTTGTTGGTGCAACAGTGGCTTATGGCTTTTAAAAAAAGCCGAATAAAAAAACTTTCTGTTTGCTTAGGTTTAGGTATTTAGATTATAAGCAGGCTAATACTCCCTCCGTCCCAAAAAAAGACAAACCCTGGTTTCCGTGCCCAACGTTTGACCGTCCGTCTTATTTGAAAAAATTATGAAAAAAATTAAAAAGATAAGTCACGCATAAAGTATTAATCATGTTTTATGATCTAACAATAATGAAAATACTAATTATAAAAAAAATTCATATAAGACGGACAGTCAAACGTTGGCACGGAAACCCACGGTTTGCCTTTTTTTTGGGACGGAGGGAGTAAGTCCCCAAGCAAATAGGGCCTACCAACTAGCATCATGGTTACAATCCTACTTCAACTAAAACATCAGCGTACTATTGTCCTTAACAATCAGAAATATAATACTTGGTAGATGAAAGTTCCACTGAATGCAATGAAGAACAGTTATGAAGAAGCTGTTACCCATTCAAAGTTTTTGAAAGCAACAATATGCTCAAACACAGTTACATATCATTATCATCAAGTAAGAAACTTATACTTTGTCCACTTTACCTGCATGAAAAGATCCGCCAAACAAGTCAAAAGGTTCTCCTCCGCATCTCCAGGAGTTTTGTTATTTGCATAATATTCCAGCAATTTCTCCCTGAACGGGATGCAGAAATATAGTGCCTGGAACACAAGTATCATTGTAAGGTTCATGTAAATAATAAGGTGTATAAAAAATAATTGACTGTGCAGTGCAAGTTGTAAGATTGCAAACTGTGAAGAAGAGATTACAGCAGAACATTTACCAAACAGAAATAGTCCATAATTTAATATGGTTCAGGAATGATAACATTATTTGACTATTGCATACCAAGATATAATAAAATATAAACTTGTTCATCATATTTCATGACAACTACAATATTATGCACAGAACTTTACAAATATAAGGTAGATCTACAACTATAGCGAAGGTACTAAGATAGTGAACACTAAAATTGTCTCCTGTGGGTTTCTCGCACAATAAGGATAACGATCCACAACAGAACAGACAAAATTATGTGTCCTAACAAGATCCTCAATCAAATAAAACGAATATTCAGAAGTGGGTAAAAGTATTGTCAGAAATGTCCTATAGCTTTAACTGCTAGGAAATGCCTCAAACTTCCATTCTAAAAGAAAATGGGCAGAAAGTGATCCTGCATTTGTCA